ATATTGGTCTGGCGGGTAATAAAAGAGCAGACTGCTTCGCCAAGAAGGTTCAAGGGAATGCACAATATGAACATGTTTCCTTTTAGAGCGCAGCTCTTAGGGGCCCGTTCCCGGCTTGAGCGGCGTCGGCGTCGGCGTCGGCGTCGCCGTCGGTGTCGGCGTAACCGCAACTCTCGTAACCCTCGTGAGGGTTACGAGGGTTACGAGGGTTAATCTCATGAGGGTTACCCTCACGAGGATCACGAGGGTTAGTTACCTTCAAAAGGGTTACCTTCACGAGGGTTACCCTCACGAGGGTTACTTACCCTCGTAACCCTCACGAGGGTTACGAGGGTTAGTTACCCTCAAAAGGGTTACCTTCACGAGGGTTACCCTCCACGAGGGTTACTTACCCTCGTAACCCTCACGAGGGTTACGAGGGTTAGTTACCCTCAAAAGGGTTACCTTCACGAGGGTTACCCTCACGAGGGTCACGAGGGTTATGAGAGTTACCCTCACGAGGGTCACGAGAGTTACCCTCACGAGGGTCACGAGAGTTACCCTCACGAGGGTCACGAGAGTTGCCCTCACAAGGGTTACTAGGGTTACCCTCACGAGGGTCACGATGATTACCCAGGTCACGTGACCCCGGGGGGGGGGGGGTCACGTGACCTGGGGATACCCCCCGAGGTCACGTGACCCCCGTTGACGTCATAGCCACTGATGACGTCATCAGTGACGTCACTGATGACGTCACCGGCATCCGCATCGTCATCATCACTGATGGCGTCATCAGTGACGTCACTGATGACGTCAGCGGCATCGTCACGTGGCCCCAGGTCACGTGACCCCCCGACGTCACGTGACGCCCCAAGGTCACGTGACTCCCACAAGGTCACGTGACTTCCCGCCCCCCGAGGTCACTTGACCCCCCCCGCCAGTACCCTTCCCTCCTCCTCCTCAAGAGCTGCGCTCTAATTCGGCGTTACAGGGAGTTGTAAACGGCTTTCTTTTTACCTAGGGACACTCGGGAGGTATTAAGTAACGCAGTAAGTCGAATTTGTTCTACTTAATTTCACGAATACCGAATAGTCAATTTTAAGCAAGTCGATCCCGGATAGAATTCCACGAACGCATTTATCTCACACACAGCGTACAAACTGCTGCATAGGTTTCGTCTCAACGTCGCTTTCAACGTTTTATCTGTGCCCCAAAGCCAATCGAATAAAAAAAGGCAGCTATATCTTCTTTCTTCTCCGGCGCTCGCACTATTTTTAAAAATGATTTCCATCACTGACTTTTCTGCCCCTTTGCTGGTCTCATGATTGCAAACGGCCTTGACCTGGTTTAATGAACCTTTTCCTGTAACGAGCGCCGTCTGCGCAATTGTCTTCGAACTACAAATGAAAGGCAGCCCAGCATGCCTGCGCCCGTCAGAATACATTGGCATCGTGCTGTTGTATTGGTATTCGTTGCCTTTTTTGTCCCATACAAAAAAATATGCCCAAACAAAAATTGCCAAAAAAAAAAAAAAAGAATACGCGCAAATATAGGTCCTGAATAAGTCGGACGAGCGGAACTTTGTCCTGCGAAGATGGCGACAGCGGGAAGCAAGGCCAGGGGCGGGGGTGTACGCACGCGTAGAAGCTTACTGGAAAAAGGTACATGGTAAGTCAGAGCTCAGTCGAAGGATGAGAGACATGTAAACGCATACACACAAATAGTTCGTTTTCACGGTACACTATTTCGATCTGGTTGGAGTAGCTACGAAGAACCTACCCAGAAAAAGGTGCCGAGAGTCGTGTCGCTGTGTCTTTGACGTTTGTTGATTGGGGTGATGGGCTCGTAGCCTTCGCTGCGCTCTAAAGGCATAGGTGCTAAAGTCCCTGTAAACGAAACTTTATTTTTATTTATTTATTCATTTGTTTGTTTACCTTCAAGGCCCGAGGCATTATAGGGGGGAGTGGATTACATTTCATAAGGTAGTACAACATTGTGCAGTTATCAGTATAGACAAATAAGAGGCCCCTAATCATACAATAATAGCTAAGGCGTTCTCGAAAATATTGGGGTCTTCGATGGTTAACGTAGGTGCGGGAAGGCGATTCCACTCATCTGATGTGCGTGGGAAAAAGAACTGAATAAAAAGCGTTAGTTTTGCAGAGTGAAATTCCAACCTTAAGAGCACGATCCAACCTGGATGAGATATACGGGGGAGGTAAAATAAAATTGTGGCGCAGATATGGGTGATGAAAGAGCTTGGGAAATAGACATAGTCGAAATAATTTACGGCGAGATGCTAGCGTTGGTAGGTTGAGGCTAGATTTCATTGAGCTTAAGCTGACAGTTCTGTTATATGTATTGAACCATGATTAAGAGCGCTAAAAAGACGTACACAAGATAGAAGACAAACACGGGCGCTACTCAAAACTGTGAGTAGCGCCCGCACAGTTGTGAATAGCGTCCGTGTTTGTCTTCTATCTTCTTTACGTCTTTTTAGCGCTTTTAACCATGGTTCAATACAGTCAACACCAACTAGCCCAACACAAGTTCTTTTACAGTTCTGTTATAGTTAGATAGGATAAAATAAACTGAATTATTTTGAACCATTTCAAGTGAACCTATTAAGTTTTCTTGGTAAGGATACGAAGGAGGCAATTCTCCCTCTCCCAGACTATGTCTCCTTAGCTGCACGACACCATTTTTGGACGAAGATGCCGGTCATTAACAGTATTACGCGCTCTCCCATTGACGCCGTAATTGGCCAGCGCGCGTTCCTCCCCCTCCCGGCGTATCTCCCAGGCTGCAGGATGCCATTTTTGAGCGAAGACACCGGCGAAGAGGAAACGTTTTTGAAGAATGAATTGCCTTACTTTCATATATCTACAAGAGGACTTTAATAGACGTACTCACCGTCCTCCCCCTCTTCCTCCGTCGCACACGACATTTGTTCTCTAATTCTCGCTCTCTCGCACTCACCCATGATCATGCTCGTCCCAGGAGAGCAAGCGGCGCTCTTTAAGAAAAAAAGTCGTTACTTATACGCATAGGGAGATTAATTTACACACTGACCGTCGTGCGGATGTCATAGCACGCGGTCTAGACAACCGATCGAAGACAGCGCTAGAACTCTTGGGATAGAAACTGCTGAAATTGCTGCCAAAGGAGATGCAATGCGATAGCACTTAAGCTGCGACTCACGCTGCGACTCACGCTGCTCAGAAATACTATACAAAAGACGCAATGTTCGCTGCAGACAGAATCACAGACTTATCTGCGGGCACGCCTCCAACGTACACTCTAAGAAAAAAGATGGTCTCAAGGGACTAACGGCAGCATTTGGTCCTCTGAACTCCCATTTGCTCCCCGAAGAGACCATCTGGTTCGAGCTAGGTACCGTGCGCAAATGCTGGGGACTAGCTGTACTCGACCAGGACTAACCGAAAGGCGCGCGGGAGCAAAAGCAGCGAAAGGCACGGGGGAGCAAGAGCGCGGAAGCAAAAGACGCGCGGACAAGATGGCTGCGTCTACTTCATCGCCGATGGTCAGCGTTAGCGACGCACTTACTGTTTCGGAACGCGGGGGATGTATCCACAGACAATCGTAGCATCACAAATTGCAAGAGGGGGCATGTTTAAGGGTTAAAGCTAACTTTATAACGATCACAGCCTCCGTACCACTACGTCGTGGAAGCCGCCGCTGACTCAAGCGCAGCCATTGTTGATGCACTGGCCATGCCGCTTTCGAGCATTGTCCTGGCGTCCTTCCCCTTTGCATACTTTTGAACGTGCTTTGAAAACGTTTATATTTTCTTTTTGGTTTAACTGTAACGTAGAAATTTTTTTTTTATCACTTAGCACGTGGTAAAAACGTTTCCAAAGACAAAAAAAAGATAAACTCTGGTTTCTTTTCTTTTAATATTCTTTACAATATTTTTTTTTTCGAAAGAGATGATGGGGTTGCCACGGAGACGCGCATGCGCACAGTGGGGAAGCTATGCGGGGAAGCGAGAACACGGCTCCTGGGAGCCTATGGGGACGCTGTTTTATACTGTCACAAATAATTACTGTGTGTACCGTTACGTCTTTGTAAGAGATAAACTCCTTGGAAAGTTTAGCAACAATATTGGAGAACAATATTGGTACGAAAGCAGCACCATATTTGTAACGCCGTTCACGGTTGAGATGGTCACTGAAAAAACGACTCCCCTTATATAATCAGTATAAAAGGCGCATGGGTAGGCTTTGGGGTGACGATTGAAATAGCGTGTCGTCGCGTGTGTCTCGTCGCGTGTGTGTAGTGTGTGTGTGTTGTGTGTGTCATGTGTGTTCTAATTCCTTGTCGATATTAAAATGTGTACAACGTGTGCGAATGTGAAATAAGCGTTGTTCGTATGTGAATGTAATAAGCGCCGAAACGATCTACCCCAGCGATGCTATATTTTTTACCAACTTTGAATTTGACGTTGACTAGCGCCACCTGGGTGTGTAAGCGCGCAATTTGGTACTACATAAGGTAAGGACACAACATTTAGTCCCAGGGGCCTAAACGCAAGGGTGCAAAAGTTACTCCTAGGGGTTCAACTTTAAGGGACTAACGGTAGGGCAGCAAGGGTTGCTCCCGTCACCGTTCCTCCCCTAGGGGACCAATGGTTGTGTCAGCGCATTTGCTCCCTTGAGGGAGCAAGTTACGCTCCCTTTTTTCTTAGAGTGTATGTATGCTTCATACCTGCTTCGAACATGTCAGCAGCAGGCAATTTTTGTACGACCAAAGTGACAGGTTCTTCGTCCAGGAAAGAAACACTCCTCTGGCAGTGTCTGTAAACTGTCTCTAATATGATGTATTAGCGCCGTGACCGCGGCTCTAGATAATTTGCGTATACTGAGCGCCAAACATATCCTAGGGTTGTCGCGGTCTTGGAAATACGCTGGCATTTATTGCCCTGGTGCACGCAGTCGTCTTTCGTTTGGACGATTAGGGTTTGGACTGGTCTGGTTTGAACTGGTCTGGTTTGGACTTGCCTGATTTGGACTGGTCCGGTTTGGACATGTCTGGTTTAGACTTGTCTGGTGTGGACTTGTCTGGTTTGGACTTGTCTGATTTGGACATGTCTGGTTTAGACTTGTCTGGTTTGGACATGTCTGGTTTAGACTTGTCTGGTTTGGACTTGTCTGATTTGGACTGGTCCGGTTTGGACATGTCTGGTTTAGACTTGTCTGGTTTGGACTTGTCTGGTTTGGACTTGTCTGATTTGGACTGGTCCGGTTTGGACATGTCTGGTTTAGACTTGTCTGGTGTGGACTTGTCTGGTTTGGACTTGTCTGATTTGGACATGTCTGGTTTAGACTTGTCTGGTTTGGACATGTCTGGTTTAGACTTGTCTGGTTTGGACTTGTCTGATTTGGACTGGTCCGGTTTGGACATGTCTGGTTATGTCTGGTTTAGACTTGTCTGGTTTGGACTTGTTTGGTTTGGACCTGTCTGATTTGGACTGGTCCGGTTTGGACATGTCTGGTTTAGACTTGTCTGGTGTGGACTTGTCTGGTTTGGACTTGTCTGATTTGGACATGTCTGGTTTAGACTTGTCTGGTTTGGACATGTCTGGTTTAGACTTGTCTGGTTTGGACTTGTCTGATTTGGACTTGTCTGATTTGGACTGGTCCGGTTTGGACATGTCTGGTTTAGACTTGTCTGGTGTGGACTTGTCTGGTTTGGACTTGTCTGATTTGGACATGTCTGGTTTAGACTTGTCTGGTTTGGACATGTCTGGTTTGGACTTGTCTGATTTGGACTGGTCCGGTTTGGACATGTCTGGTTTAGACTTGTCTGGTTTGGACTTGTCTGGTTTGGACTTGTCTGATTTGGGCTGGTCCGGTTTGGACATGTCTGGTTTAGACTTGTCTGGTTTGGACTTGTCTGGTTTGGACTTGTCTGATTTGGACTGGTCCGGTTTGGACATGTCTGGTTTAGACTTGTCTGGTGTGGACTTGTCTGGTTTGGACTTGTCTGATTTGGACTGGTCCGGTTTGGACATGTCTGGTTTAGACTTGTCTGGTTTGGACTTGTCTGGTTTGGACTTGTCTGATTTGGACTGGTCCGGTTTGGACATGTCTGGTTTAGACTTGTCTGGTGTGGACTTGTCTGGTTTGGACTTGTCTGATTTGGACTGGTCCGGTTTGGACATGTCTGGTTTAGACTTGTCTGGTGTGGACTTGTCTGGTTTGGACTTGTCTGATTTGGACTGGTCCGGTTTGGACATGTCTGGTTTAGACTTGTCTGGTTTGGACTTGTCTGGTTTGGACTTGTCTGATTTGGACTGGTCCGGTTTGGACATGTCTGGTTTAGACTTGTCTGGTGTGGACTTGTCTGGTTTGGACTTGTCTGATTTGGACTGGTCCGGTTTGGACATGTCTGGTTTAGACTTGTCTGGTTTGGACTTGTCTGGTTTGGACTTGTCTGATTTGGACTGGTCCGGTTTGGACATGTCTGGTTTAGACTTGTCTGGTTTGGACTTGTCTGGTTTGGACTTGTCTGATTTGGACTGGTCCGGTTTGGACATGTCTGGTTTAGACTTGTCTGGTGTGCACTTCTCTGGTTTGGACTTGTCTGATTTGGACATGTCTGGTTTAGACTTGTCTGGTTTGGACATGTCTGGTTTAGACTTGTCTGGTTTGGACTTGTCTGATTTGGACTGGTCCGGTTTGGACATGTCTGGTTTAGACTTGTCTGGTTTGGACTTGTCTGGTTTGGACTTGTCTGATTTGGACTGGTCTGATTTCGACTGGTCTGGTTTGGACTAGTCTGGTTCGAACTGGTGCGGTTTGGACTGGTCTGAGCAAAGGGCCGGCTTACGGATCTCAAGTTGTCGGGTTCGAATCTCGGCCGAGGTGCTCTCAATCTGCCAGAAACTTAGTGCAAAGAAAGCGCCTTGCAACCGAGCTTTCAGATGCACGTCAATAGATCACCAGATTGTCTAAAGTAATCCCCAGTGCTCCTCTCAGGCGTTTGGTTGGTTTGGCACGTAAAAGTCCCAAATTTGAGTTTGACTTTGCCTCCGTTCCCTGAACAACGTGTGCGTGTACACGCACACGTTGTTCAGATTTTTTTTTTAAATCTGTACATCTCAACAAAACGAGTAGTTGAATTTATGAAATTCGTGCAGAGTACGCAACATCCGATGATTCACGAGCTCCCTCATACTAGTTTATAATTGTGACGTCGACGTCGCATGAATGCGAGACGACGTCTAGTGTTTTTGACGTCGACGTCAAAGACACTAGAACGTCAGGATGTCTTCTAAACTACGTGTGCCCAAAGCGTGGAATTGGAATATGCTAGCCTGAGTGGAGGTGAGGTCCACTTTAACAATTGCATATATCATCTCCATATTTTTGCTTTGTTTATTTTTTTTTATTTTTTGTGGGAAGAGAAGCAATATTGTTTTAGAACGCTGCTCTTAGGCGCCCGTTTCTGACTTGAGCGGCGTCGGCGTAACCGCGAAACCTCCCCCCCCCCCAAGGACATCAGGAGGACCTCGGGAGGACCCCGGGTTCCTTTGGGAGGACCTAAGGAGGACCTCGGGTTCTTTCGGGAGGACCTCGGATACCTTCGGTGACCTCGAGGAGGAGGGTCACTTGACCTTGGGGAGGGGGCCACGTGACCTCGGGGGGGGGGGGGTCACGTGGCCCCCCCTCCCCGAGGTCACCGAAGGTACCCGAGGTCCTCCCGAAGGAACCCGAGGTCTTCCCGAGGTCGGGGGGGGGTCACGTGAACCCCCTTCCCGAGGTCAGGTGAACCCCCTTCCCGAGGTCAGGTGACCCCCTCCTCGAGGTCACGTGGCCCTTTCCCCAAGTTCACGTGATCCCTCCGAGGTCACGTGACCACCCCCTCCCCGAGATCACGTCACCCCCCTCCCCGAGATCACGTGACCCCCCCCCCCCCCCCGAGGTCACGTGACCCCCCTCAGCACCCTTCCATCCTCCTCCTCAAGAGCTTCGCTCTAATTCGGCGTTACAGGGAGTTGTAAACGGATTTCACTTTTTTATTGTGAAAATGTTAAAGAACTTTCTCATCAGCCGAGACAAAGGCGCGGTTTTTTCTTCTAGCTAGTGACATGCGCGGGTCGGGACCTGCACCTTGCACGGAATCGAGGGTCGCCCAGTTTTTCATTGATTTTATCTTGATATTCGAAATTCCCTCCCGTGTCGTCATACTAAACCGCGGGGGAACAAATTTGATGCTGTGAATATTTATACAGCGAGTGGTCGCGTATTCCCTTGATCGAGCGTTTTCCTAATTAGGGTATAGTGATTAAATTTACATCAATGATAGCTGCTTAGAGTCCTCCGCAGATCAGTTGGCGCTCTTTGACTGGAAAGACACTTAGAGAGAAAACAAGCCAGCCGTAACTTTTCAATTAGAATAGAGCCTCGAAGGTAATGGAACAGGCACGAAGGATAGTATTGAACTGGATCTTGTTTAACTCGTTAAGAAAGTATTGGAGGGGACGAAAACGCGAAGGTATTCGTCTTTTAATATTTCATTCAAGTTTTTGTTTTTGTTACAACGTTTAATGTTGCCATTGGATCAACAACCAGTGAAACCCGCAACCTTCGTTTAAAATTTTAGTGTAATAGTGGGGAGCTAATTTCCAGGATTTAACGGCTATTGCCCTGAAACTTTGTGTTCCGTCTTTTACGGCGCCTATCCCTATTCGTTCAATCAGACCTTCAGCTTTTGCTTAGATGTCGACCTACACTCTAAGAAAAAGTGAGCACCCCCTCGTCATCGTGCGTTTTGACGGCTGTAACTACCCCACAGGCTTACTTAACTACCCACTGGGCTCGAGCCATTGAGAGTTAGCACCCTGTTGGCAGGTGACAAGCACGGGGTAGTGACGTTTTATGAACTCTTGAATTGAACATTCAAGTGCATGCAGTCGTTCAATAGTAAAAGTCACTTCAAAAATCTCAAAAAGTACTTTAAACTTGTTTTCTTTGTGCGTTGGTTATCATATATTCAAATTTGAACCGGTCGAAACAAGCGTGTGGCTCAGTTCGCCTAAACTGGCAGAAAACAAACAAGTACAGGCAACCTTGGTAGCAGAATGTCGAACCGAAATTTTTATCGGTTCGGTTCCGGTTCGGGTTCACGGCTTTCGGTTCGGTTCCGGTTCAGTACCGGGGAGCAAAAAATAACGGTTCAAACCGGTTCCAACCGGTTTGAACCGGTTTGAACCGCTAAACTGAGAATATATTTTCCGCGTTGTTCTGGCAGTAAACACTATTTACGCCGTGAAACGATTAATTATATAGTTTCTTCTATCATCCTGCAATTCACTTTTGTTTTCAGGTACCAAAAATATAAAATTCAGTTATTTAATTTCGACGCAACAGTAGAAGAAAATCTACATTAACGTAAATAACATCGACTTCATACGACTAAACAACCCTTTGTTTACCAGTAGCCGTATACTTTACCTGAATCAAAATCAAAAATACAACAGTAAAGAGATGAGCTTGTTGGTACATACCTGTAAATAGATCAGCTTCAAATTTAGAACTATACAGTCTTTTCCTGTCCTTTCGTCGTGTTTAAGTAAAATTCTAAAGTTCAAGTTGATTTATTTACACGGTATAAAATGTCGCGAAGTGTGGTAGGTTGCATAAAATACCCGTGATTGGTGCAACTTTGTTTCGCAGTTTTAAAAGTCAAATGGTGATTGTGTCCTTGAACTAAGAAATTAATTACAGCACATAAAATCATTAAATGGGCACCTCGTGGCCATATATATCATGAAATATGGTTTACAAAATACGTTTCACAAAATATATATAAAGACGACACAACTGAGCTAAAAGCAATGAAATTTTCAAAATGTCAAAAAAGTTTTAGGACAATCTCTTTCAGCCTATTTTTTATAGAAACAGCGAGCGGCAATCGCAAGGCTTGTTTTTCTAACCAAACATTGTTTACGCTCAGCACCGCGATGCCTGCGACTAATCATGCAAAAAGGAGTGATCGAAATTGTTCACTCTAATCTATACGCACCTTGGCACTCAGATCGAAACTGGCCCAAAATAGCTCTTGCCCAAGTAAACATTTTCTTATACAGGATAAGCAGGCATAGCCTGCCTGTTGAGGTTTGTTCTTGACAAGATGCCGGTCAATATAATTGGCAAATGAGTGTCACCCTTGCTAACTGATGGTTCTAATGCGACAGCGATAAGGCGCTCATGTCGCAGAAAAGCCGATGTCGGTGACGTGACTGAAAAATCCTGATTGGTCGATAGGGTGATGACGTCGCAGCTAGATGCCCTCGCGCAGGAATTGCAAACAACCCACAATGCTCACGTGAAACGTGACATCGCGCGTGGAATCAAGTGATTAAAACATGCCATGTACTGCGAATTAAAGGTCGCTGTATGGCTCAAATGAGTTCACTTTATAAAGTGATTCCTTTGCCTTACAAAAAAAAAAACAAAAAAAAAGATGGAAGAATTTTAGGCGGGATTTGAACCCACGACCCTTCGGTTGCAAGTCAGACGCTCTTGGCTAGGCCACGCGAGGCACGCTTGCACGGCAAGGCGATGCAAACGAGGCCCGTTAACGCTATCACGTTCCACTTTTAAAGGCGAAGCTTAAACGTCTTCCAAGGTTCTTTTTTTTAAGTAAAACGAAGCAGTATTTCACGTTCTACTCGACATGGCAGCTACTTAATTGGACACTCTCTGATGATTTCCGTGCGTAATTGTCATAGTTCCGCCGCACGCTCCTGTGTAACTTGTTTTTATCCCGCCCATAGACACATAAAAGTAATGTTCATCACGTAAATAAAGGGGCAATAACAGAATTCTATATGTTTGAGAAGCTATATACGTGAGGAACATATAGTTATTTAAATTCGCTTCAAATTCAGAAATGTGCATAAGGCTGTCCCAAATCACTTACAACGTACCTGCGGAGGATAAAAACGCCGGAAAAGGTCGGCACAGGGGAGGGGGGGGGGGGGGGGGGGGGAATTGCTTTAAGGTGGTCGGTTCCTTATTTATGCAGTTAGTAATTAAATGCATTTTTATAATGATCAATAAATTTTACTCTATGAAGTTCACAAAACCGCTTGAGACCGACACGGAAGGACGATTCTCGAAACTACGCGAGCTGTGGAGTCTGCGTAAAAGTGTTTTCTGTTTGCTGATTGACAGTGTGAAACAACGGGTTCCAGGGTGCGCCAAAGAGGGCTTTGTGCTCACATAATAGATTGGAAGTCAAATTCATGAAATGTTCAAAAATAGAAAGCTAATAATTGTTATTTTTCTAAACAATTTCTTACAGAACGCCTTACTGCAAAAAGATATGCGTAAAAATGCACGCAATGAAATTTATAATTTTACATAAATAGGGCGAAGGACAGACAAAGATTCTTATTTTATCAGCTTCCATGAGCTCGAAACTTCGCGAAATACTGCCTCGGGAGGCTAATGTTATATTCGGTTTTACCTGCACTTGTTTTGGGCCCTCACTTTGCAACACTATGCTTCAATAGTCATGCGCTTTAGCATCTCTATGGGCTGCCGTATTTCATCGCGAGACTGCTATAAATGCTGCACAACTTTAGAATTAGGACATCTATTGCTAGTGTTGCGAACATCGCTTTCACCAGAAAGCGATGTTCGCCAGAGAGCGGGACTATTTAACATGGTATGCACGTGACGTCGTCACACTATATGGTGGTCATTGTGATTTCTTTTTGCTGAGAAAATCAAATTCAATGGTGCAAAATGCACGCT